ACACACACACACACACAGATGTGGCACTTTCGAGAAACAATGAGCAGTCCATGTAGATACTGTTACACACAGACACACGTGTGGTAACAAGTTGCTGATACAGCTCCCTGGAGAGTGTTTTGTGAGAGACAGTGACACAGTATCTGCTTATGCGACAGAAGCCATTCTGTATCGGCGGAGTCCTGACAGGCTGTATGCTAATCATTACAAATGGTTCAAAGAAGAGCTGGTGTTCCACACGCTGGGAGGTTATCATAGTTGCAATGACAGGGGCTTGTAATGCAGCTGCCCGGTTTTCCCTTACTACTATCCTAGTGTCTTCATCTTGTTTTTTGCCTCCTACCATTGCTCACTTTCTTATGACCTTTTCCATTTTTTACCCCTCATAACTTAATTTTCTGCGACTTTTTTTTCCCATTTTCAGCTCACATTTTCTTTTATTCCTTCTCGCCATACACAGTTTTAGCTTTTGGACAACATGGTTTTATCTGTACGAGGTGAATGGGAGAGCATTATGAAAGACGTGACTCAGTCAACCATACATTTGCATGATCACTGGGAAAAAATGATGAACTGTAGTTCACAGAATAGAATTATTTATTATTTATTTATGTGATTGTATGTGTGTGTTTGTGTGTGTGAGGGGTTGCATATGCAGGACTAGAAATTACCACCCGGCAAATTGTGGTTGGTATTATTGTCCAGTTACAAGCCAGCTTAAATCAAATTGTGATGGTCTTATTTTAACAGTGCAATCATAACAATCAGTGTAAAGCACTGGGTCATGTGCACAAGGACAATGAGGGTTTATACTCCCAGTGCAATATGCACAAAGGAGTTTGGTGAAGCGGAATAAAAATTGGAGGGGTGTAGTGATTATTCATTATATTCTCAGCCAGTCACATTATCACTCTCATGCCTATTAAACAGCTGTGCCAAACACATGGGCACATGACAAAGTTAGTTCCATAATCAGAGCTGAGAGAAGCTTTTCAGTTATGATGTTATAGAAGGGCAGACATAATACAAATATGCTGCATAAAGGCAGGTGATATGTTGTTTTAGGCTGAACTTGAATTAGTTGAGATATTAAAAGTCAGGTCATGTAGTGATGTATTGTGTCATGTATTTGGAAAGAAAGTAATGCTCAACCTTAAAGGAAGTTGACTATTTCTGTAGCAAATAACTATCATAATAATGAAAATTGCGACAGCTGTAAAAGGCTATATTTTCTGAGGAAAATGTGTTCTTACAACTGGACATTAGCAGTTTAAACATCTTGTTGACAAGACATTTAGTGTTGAGTCAGATGTCAGTGAAAGTGACGGTTGAATTTGAAGAGTTGGAATTGAAACATTGAAAGTCAGTCAGTTTAAATGTGTGGTTTTATTTTGAAAGTGATTCACGCAGCCATATCAAAAGAACATCGGTACAATCAAAGTAAAAGTAAAGAAAAACTAATTTTCTGAGATTTTGTAGCAGAAAACATACAGCTGAAGTTAATAACATTAATGACTCCGCTCCATTTATAGAACGGTGCACTCGTTAACAAAATGAGCTACACCTGTTCTTCTCCTGCCATAAGTCAAAATGTCTGCCGTGATAAAGGATTACATGAAACACTAGTGCCATAACCTAATTACCTGAAAATACAAAATGAACATGTCGTGGTTCTCCCTCTTCTTCGCTGTTCATAGATTTACTGACAAGTGACTTTTGCATTATAATTTATGAATACCTGAAATGATGAATGTAATGTTAACTACGCTATTCAGGGTGCCTCATCACTGAAACAATACTCATTATTCATCAGGATGAGGCAGGAAAAATAAAGCAGTTGAGAGAAAAAAATAAATAAAAAGGCTTCTGTGCTGCACAAGTGAACACATCACCTGCCTGAAGAGAGGTAGCAGGTAATCTTTTCACAAAAAACAAACCTCATGTTTCTGGAAGATGAATTCATCTGCTCTCGCTCTCACTCTCACGCACTCTCTCTTTCCTCCCCTGCCTCTCATCACTTTCTCCTGCTGTCTCCAGACCCCCTCCTCATTCTCCCCTGTGGTGAATTATTTGTGCAGCGCGGGCTGAAATGGCAGATTGGCTGCTTTGACAAGTTCTAAACACAGATCTGAACCAGTATACGACATCCATCCATTTTTAAATGCAGAGGATAGCTCCCTTATTTATTCTGGCTCAGAGGGATGTCGTACATACACACAGACATATCCTCTGTCCTTCCTCTGATGACAGGCTAATGTACTGTATATGCCAAGCAGATGGTTGGATAATTGATCAGTGTTACCTTTTTAACAGTTGGCAGTAATTAATGCCAACTTCACCTTTTCACAGTATCCGTTAATATAATACTGACCTAAATGTCACAGCCAGCATCTGTCTGCTTTAGCCTTCTTTCTCTCTCGTTCCTGTTGTTCCATTCGTCTCTTGTCACTTTCTATCAGCGTCTCAAGTCCTCCTGTCATCCTCTGTCTTGTCTCGATCAGTCTCTTATCTGTTCCCGTTGTTCGCTCACCTCATTTTATTTTCTGTCTGTCTAACAGCCTGATCTGGTTCCATGCTTAATGCTGTCCCTTTGCGGCACTACTTCCTTCCTATTCCTGCACACTTTAAAAACCTGTCTTTTCTTTTCTGCCCAGGAAAGCGAGAGATTCTCTGCCAACCTTCCGCCAGTTCTTCAGCTCAGCATTCAGCCTGACCCATGTGAGCCTGGCCTCTATGAAAGTCCCTCCGGATTCGCTGAGGTGAGTGACTGTCACAGGCAAGGATTTAAAGGGACCTTTGAAACTGTGAACCTTCTTAAGCGTATGTAAGATGCAAATCACTTGTAAAGTCTGAAGTGCAAAGGGGTGAAAAAGGACCAGCTGTTCTGATCAGATTTTGATTCCATACAGCAAAAAAGAATCAAATTAATATGTAAATAAACCCAAACTGTAAGAAAGATGTGATCCAATCGACCTTGGGAGGTGATACCAGGTACATATGGCCATGCTACTTACAAAATCCATCTCTTTAATCCACATATAAAAAAGTGCGAAATAAACCAAGAAGCTTTCAAAAACGCCAGTGAACGTCAGTGCATTATATATAGAGGAAATGACCGGTGATGATAGATGACACCCCAATACTCACTCATTTGGTAACAGAATCCTCTGTCAGTTACCGCTGCAGTCCTGTAGTTGTGCTGTTTCTGATGTGGTTATGCCACGAATATTCCACTGACAGTAATCAGCTTTGACTAGTGCATCACCACCTGTGAGAGCCAACTGGCAATCACTTCCCCTTCATTCGGAGAACCTCTGGACAGGATGCACACACTGAGTTGGCAAAATAAACTGCTATAACAGCCGAGAGGATGCACGGATATACACATCAAACAGTAAATATTATACTGATATTATATGAGAAGGATACCATAAACTCACTATAGAAGAAGCAAACACAGAAAGTATGTTGCTATAATATATTAAAGGTGTTTGATAAAGTCAGATTTATTTTTTATTTAAGCACATTTTACTAAAGTTGTAATTGGAATATTATTATACTGGGCTTGAAATCATTAAACAAGTGAATGTATTGTTCCACAGACATCTTGAATTGTTACAATATATCTCCCAGCATTTCTGTAATGAATTTCACGCAGACTAGTGAATGAATGAAATCCATAAAATAATCCAATTTAAAAAATTTAATTGAATGAGCCAATATGGAGATGTACAGTACAGTAGGAGACATGTTTCCTTATATTTAATATTGGAGCCAGTGTTCCTTCTCAGATAGCAGTCCAGCAGCTGTATGCTCAAATAAACGTGCAGGCTGATGGTGAGTTGAAACCTGATCTGAAATACTGTCATGTTTATGATATAAGTAGGTTATGTATTTCGTATGACGTGACTCATGTAGCCTATTTATTTCTAACTCTTTCAGTGTGTTATCAGCAGCTTTTATTGGCTTGCCTCTCTGTGTCAACAACCATTTGTGCTGCCAATAATAAAACCTGAAGCCTAAGAGTGGTAAAGGATGAATTCCCACTGGGGCCATTTGTGCTAAAAATGAGTCCACTCATGACACTGTAAGGTGCTTTAGTTTAAAGCAGTGTTTGAATGACACACAAAGCCTTTAGATTTCATATTCAAACTTTAACCAAACAGCTGAAGAGGAGACTCTTGAAATACAAGAATTCTCATGCATTATTCCACTGTTCCCTGGCCTATACCCCATTCTTAATGCATAGCTGACGTGCAGTGGCCTTGGGACAACAGTGGTTACTGATAATCTACTGCCGGTACAAGCAGAACCACTCAGCATAAAGGGATGTTATTTTCTTGTTTGTATTGTGTCAAGCTAAAATAACTTACCATATGGAGCGTCGTTTGCATCCAAACCATCAGTGAGATTTTATCATCAAGGCTCGCATTAGGTTTCAAACACTTTTTCTCGACAGTGGAGCAAATCTGTCTTATGTTGGTAGACTGGCCTTCAATCACAGGACACAGATTGAAGCCCCTGTACTGGCCGGCGTCCACCGTGCTGACGTGTCTTTGTGCAGCTCACAGAGCGTCAAAGTAAAAAGCGAGTTTTCCTACAGGGATAAATAGAATATTGCTATATTACAGTTTCTCTATTAGGTGTGCAGCCTGCTGTCAGCTTCTCATAGCCAAAAAAAACACAATCAATGGCAGAGTAAACAAAGCAAACTGCCAACAATTGGGATTGTTGTGTGCTGCATGATGGACCTTAGCCAAAATGGACGGAGTGGACTTCCCACCTAGCACTTCTCCTCATTTCCTCCTCATGGTGCGTAACTCTTACATGTGTGTTCAGTGTGCAAGGACAGCCTCCAGCAGAGCCTTGATGTGCAAATGCAGATGTCTTTCTGCATCCAGCTGGGCTTGCTGTGCATGTGTGTGTGCATGAGCAACAATTGGCCACTTCTGAATAAATATTGAAGGTTTTTAAAGTGATTTCTGGTGGGGTGTTAGTGAGCTATGAATCTTCTTTTTAAGCTACTTTTCTCTAAATCCTTTAAGATGGCTCTAAAACTTTTAGGTATGCAGAGGAGAACGTGGGGCAGAATGGGGCGGCGGGTGGGGTCGGATGATCTTTTCAGGTTGTTAGAGCCTCGCATCTAAAAGGAGCAGTTGGATTTATGTGGGACTGATCTTTCTTCTCTTTTTCACCCTTTCATTTTCTCCTTGCCTTCCCCATTAATTGCCCTTTGTTTCTCCCCATTTCTTCTTATCTACCTATCGTTCTGTTCACTCTTCTCTTTCCTTATCTGCTTTTCCACTAATCTCTCCCATTCTCCCCTCTCTCTCTCTCTCTCTCTCTCTTGCTTCTCCTATTCTGTCTCTTTTTCCCCATCCAACCCTGCCTGTGTTTTCCTTCAGGGCTCTGTTCCTAGGTCTGTCCAATAACCCCCATATCACTGATTTACACCTGGACATCAGCAGCTGTGAGGTACGCTCTGTCAGTCTGTGCTGCTCTAGGTATATTCACTCATCTTCTTCATAGATTAACGCTCATGGCTGTCCTATCATGTGGCACTACTCTCTGTCTTCCTCCAACAGTTGAGGTCAGCAGGTGCTGGGGTGATTCAGGAGCTGTTTCCTCGAGTTTCATGCGTGGGGACTTTAGACATTTCTGATAATGGTAAGAGACACACCTGCACCCACAAGGGATAGACTTAGATGGTCAGTTGTGTATTTTCATATAGAACACATTTCACATTTAACATCAGGGTCTGGCTAGGGTTTTAGACTCAACATTTTCAACAGAAAGTCTGAGTTACAAACTAGAGTTGAGGGGGTTTAAAAGAGGTGGGAATTTAGGAGGCAGCGGGCGTCTAATGGGGGTCTAAAATTGAGTTGCATTTTGGTAATTGCAGGATCCAGTATGGAGGTTGACCTGCTCTAGAGACTACAAGTGCTTCACACATCTGACCATTTGTTTTTAATCTGTTTGAGTAACTTAAACTTTAAGCTCTTAGCTCTTTAAATTAATTAGTGAAATGTTTTTACTAACACAACAAGAAGAATTTAGTCAGAGACACTTCAGCATGTCAAGGAATTGATCATTTATAGCAAATGCTTACACAGTTAGATCTGTCGGTGAAGGCTCTGCTCTCTGGGTAAGCTCGGAAGAATTAGAGCAGCAATAAAGAATCTACTGGGAGAGCTAATCCCCCTTAGTAAACATACATTAACATTAAAGTTTAGTTAAATCAGCAATACCAAAGGCTAATCACATAAAGAGGAGGCTGGGGTAGTTGAAGGAGCTAAGGCAGGAAACTGCGTTAAAGAGAAACTTTGGTATTTTTTTTGTGTAGCCTGTTTTCTCATGTTTTGTGTTCAGTTGACAAATTGGTCCAGTATTGGGTGAAAGTGCTGCAGCTACGAAACAGGCTGCAATGTAATCTGTCATGGCAACTGCCATCAATGTATGTCCACTAAAAGTGTTTGTTTTTGCCACCGACAGGCTCAGATTGTAATTCTAAGTGACTGACAACACTATGGAAAGGACCCCTACAGAGACAGGCTGTGTGTTACCTCATAGAACACAAGAGTTGCTGGTCTACTACTGCTTTGGAATTCTTAACCCTTTAAAACACCAATGTCAAGTATTGTTTGTCCATGTCCAATGTTTTTGTCCATGGAGTCTGGTGGCTTATGTTAATAAAAAGTTTTATCTCTTTCCATAATGTTGTCAGACACTTATAATAACAATCTGTCTCTGTCTCGCTAAAACGAGCACTTTAAGTGGACGGGGGTATTATTTGAAAGGCATGAATGGCTTAATTGAAGACTTTCATCCAGTAGGAAAATGCTGTGGGGAACTCTCTTGAAGCTACTGTTTCTTAAGATTCATTGTACACTTAATCTCTAAAGCTTATTCAACTGCAAATGATAAATCTAACTGCATATCTTCCTAACAGAGTACTGCTTTTACCATATATACTTCCAACCACCGACGAAAACGCAGCAAAATGACATGACTGCTGCCTTCATTCCTGAACAGCCATTTATTGGTTTCATAGAACCAGTAGTATTAGCGGCGACACTATTATGTGTCTCCCCCCTCCTGCTGTGTCGTGTCACAGTTTCCCGTCACTGACACAGGAATAGACGCACTTCTCATTAGAGGCATGTAAGCTTATTTAATCGCAGATATTTTTGCTCTCTGAATGAGGTGTTTTAGTCTTTGTTGCTGAAATATCTTGCCATGGTAACTGCTTCCTCTTAGCAGCATCCTCTATCTTTGAGCTTTTGAAAATGTGAGTGGGTGCGAGTGGTGGTGGGGGGGTTAATTGGGAGTATTTTGGAATTTCAGTGGGCAGTGAGATTTTGTTCCAAAACAGACCATGAGACAGAAACTGAGCGTTGAAAGCCACAAATGTTAGCAGCGTAAATGAAGAGTCAGTGGTATGACAACCTAGAAATTGTCCATTTTCTGTAGTAAAAGCCTTTTACAGTTTAACATGTCAGTTATTATCTTGTCTTTTTTGTGCTGAAGATTAACTCTCTTAATATTTGCGCCTGTTGTCTCTTTCGCTCGGTACTTACAAGGAGGCAATTAAACATCTACTTGGAAGTGAGTTTTCACAAAGGCTCTGTAGAGTGTGACATTGCTGGCGTTGCACTTGTTCTCCACTGATGTGTGTGTGTTGTGTGCAGGTTTGGATGCTGACTTGCTGGCTGTCATCCCAGCATTCTCCAGGCACCCCTCCCTCAAACACCTGATGCTGGGGAAGAACTTCAACATCAAGGGCAGGTACGGACCATGCGGGGACCTGCGGTGCAGATGGTGGTGAAGACGATACTGATGATGAATGTTTTCCCTCTTTCTCTCTGCCTCCTCAGGGTGCTGGATGAAATTCTGCAGAAACTGGTTCATTTGGTGCAAGAGGAAGAGTGTGTGAGTTGGATTATGTAACATATTGTGTACACACATACACACACACACACACAAATCCTCTGTGGCGTTCCTCACAGATGCACGCCTACACAGGCCTCACAGATTTGTAGCCCCACACACATCCTGTGCACACACAAACACACACTTGTGACCATTTAAATTCTTGTGTCCTCATATCCTTTAACCAGAATTCCCACTGCCACACACACACACAAGGTGCAAACACCCGAGTCATGTTGTCTGTGGGCTCGACGAATGATTCATTTGGTCTCAGTTTATTTGTGAGGCTCCCAGGGCTCTCTCTCCTCTCCGCTCTGCAAATCCAGCATGACAAGTAGCTTACTCAATTATTTACCACTTTTGATGGTGATAGCTCACAACTACGCTCTCTCATTGAGTACGGTCTGATGCATGTGGGCAAGCCCACTAACAGAAGCACAGATGGATGCAAATATGTAAGTTCAAAGGAAGTACATCAAGTTTGTTAGAGACTGGCCTGTTAGTCAGAAAGCCATGATAACACAAACATCAGAATGGTGTGTGTATGTGTGTGTCCCCTGCATAGCTTTGGTCCAGTGCCCCATGCTAACAGTTCAGTATATGAGTCACAGAAGGCTGCAAGCAATAAAAGTGGGACAATGAGAATAAATAATAAAGAGGAGACGGTTAGCTTAGCTTAGAAGAGGGAAACAGCTAGTCTGGCTCTGTCCAAAGGTAACAAAATCTACCAACAAGCAACTCAGACTCTCCTTAATTAACACATACATAGGCCTTAGAGTACAAATTGTTAGCGAGTTTCCATTCTTTAGGCTACCTTAAGCTAACCAGCTGAACATGAAGCTGGCTCCAGCTGAACATGAAGCTGGCTCCAGCTGAATATGAAGATGGCTCCATCTACATTAAGTCTTGTCTAGAATTTTTATTTTTTTTTCCAAAATATCCCACTACAGTTTCAAACCTCGCAGGGACTCCAATTCCTGTTTCCATAAGAACGGTTACGTAAGACTGTGTCTGGCTAAAAATCACTTGGAAGATGAATATTTTGGTTCTCTCATCTTTAGTCATATGCTCAAAAGTTGTACCACGTTCTGCTGCAAGATGACACCATTCACAGTTTACAGTAGATGAGGTCCTAATGCAGAAAGCACTGTGCAGGAAGTTCTTCTGTTAAAAGAGAGTAGACAAAAATTGGGAGGAAGTGCAAATAAGCAGCTGATTATTATGCAGTACCTCTCTCTAAGTTAAAAAAAACAATAAATGATTCAACTGCAGGGGAATTGAACTGAAGATGTTTTTTTTAAAATATCTGATAATCATCACAAATTAGTTGTATTTTTCATCACTTAATGACAGGTCCAAGTCTCCCAAAAAAACCCACTCCTTTAACATAGACATTATTGCTGACCTTTATTTCACCCATGGAAGTTCTTATTTTCAAATAATCTTCCACTGTTTTTTTTTTTCTCCGTGCTTTCTCCCCCTTTCTCCTCCTTTCTCCTCCAGGCTCTGCAGTCCCTCTCCCTGGCTGACTCGAGGCTTCGTCAGCGGGGCACGGTGCTGGTCAACACTCTGGGCTCCAACACCTGCCTACGGAAAGTAGACCTGAGCGGCAACCTCCTGGAGGACTCCGGGGCCAAGATGCTCAGCAAAGCCCTGCAGATCAACACAACACTCAGGTGTGTGTGTGTGTGTGTGTGTGTGTGTGTGTGTGTGAGAGAGTTTTTTAAATTAGCACTTTGATGGGAGCGAAGGAGGGTTTTGCTTGCAGATCAGCACTTGCAGATGAGTAAGACCAGAAATAAAAGAGGTGTTAGAGGACAGATGAAAGAATAGGGTCAGAGAGAAAATTAATATGTTTGGTATAGTTTGAGGTGAGGATATACTCAGGTAGCTGAGAGGCAGAACAGTGAGTTCAACGCAGCGCTTCAAAGTGAACCATGTATCAGATAAGAAGGTAAGACAGAGGTGTTAGAGAGGAGAATCGGTGGAGGGAGGGAAAAGAGGGAAAATGGCCTTCGGGCATACAATGTAGGAGAAAAAAAGAGGCTGAGTGAAAAAAGTGTGTGCTTTGAAGGTGTGTTGTTGGAGGACTGGAAGGAGTGCAGAAAGATGCGCAGAAAAAGTGAAAGAAAAGAGGACAGGAGCGAGACAGGGGGTAGGAAGCAAGTATTAGGATGGGGAAATGGTTGGATATGGACAAGATAGGGAGAAAGTTATGAAGAGAGAGAGAGGGAGACCACCTAAGGAGTGAGATTTGGGTTTAGCTGATTGAATTTCTAGGGCAGAGTGAGTTTGGGAAGGGAGAGGAGGAGGAGCGAGAAGATGGATGAAAGAAAAGAGGGGCTGAAAATGACAGATGTATTAAAAACAGTGTGGCGTGTAGGTGGAGAATCTGCACTGTGAAATAACAGAAGCTCATTAGTAGCATGGCACTTGTTCAGGCATTCCTAATGTTGTGATATGGACTCATTCTATGCATGTAGGGAAAAAAAAGTCTGACTGACAAATGCCTTGTTAATCCTTGTGTGATGCATTTGTGCAGCTGCATGGTCAGATAAGTGCTGTGACTATGATACTATGCCCCGTGTGTGTGCATGCAGGATTGTGTGTGTGTGTGTTAGGAGCTTTAGAAAGCGACTGATCTTCTCCTTCTTCCTCTCTGTGCCTGTCTTCCCCTATTTCCTGCCCATTTGATCCCTCTCAGGAGTGTGACGTGGGATCGCAACAACACCACAGCGACGGGCTTCCAAGACGTGGCGAGAGCACTGGAGCAGTAAGACGAACACAACGCACGCTCGAAAAACTGTTTGAAGAGGGGATACACACAAGACAGATCAGTTGCACGCACACGCACGCACGCACACACACACACACACATGAAAGGCAGATAACAGTCTCTGTACAATGTTTACTATTACACAGCGTTTCATCAGTCCTCTGACGTGTGTGCCAGTCACAGTCTTGTTTTGTTTTTTTTTTCGTGTGTGTGCGTGTCTGTGTGTCTGTGTGTTTGTGTGTGTATGCGTGTGTGTGCGTGTGTGCGTGTGTGTGTATGTGTGTGTGTGTGTATGTATATGTATACAAGGATGTGTGGGTGCATGTGCATATTAGGGAATTGCAGACAACTGTTCTAAGTGCTCTGGGTGTTTCCTGTTTGTTCTTGTTAACATCACAATTTTTCCAGTTTATTATTGCAAGGGTAATATTATCTTTTCTTTCCTCTCATTGCTCCCTCCACTTAATAGCAACTTTACCCTTCAGTACATGCCCCTCCCCCTCAGTGATGTCACTCAGGCGTACCGCAGTGCCCCAGAGAAGACCGACCAAGCCCTGACCAAGGTGAGAAGAGCTTTGCTGCTTCGGTTTGTGATGTCTAAATTTCACAAACTGCAGGTGGTGAATAACAGCATTACCCGACAATTAGGGTCAGAGTGATTCATGTGTCTGATGAATGACTTTCATTTGGTGCATTAGAGGTGATGATGAAATGTGGATTTTTTTTTTCGACTGTTATATTGCTGTTGTTGCTGGAGACCCTGCACATGATATGGCAATTTTAACAATTACTTGTCAGACCTTCCTAACGCCCTTCTTAAAGCTAAATATTTGGGTTACAATATCTAACCAGTACAACAAATGTAGGTATACGACCACCAATTTATGTCACACACTTTGTCACAGATTGACAAAAAAATTATCTGATAATTTTATACCACCTGCCTGTGTAAAAGGTTTGACAACAGGAGGCTGCTGCAAGCTTAATGTACAGCCTTGGTAAAAGGGTATTAAGACTTTGTCAAAGAGGTGTTGACTCCGGAGTCACTGGGTGTCTTCGTTATGGCAGCTGCATGTTGGTCAGGGGATAAGAATAAGCAACAAGTGTTCGTCTGTGCCAGTTTGATGTGTCACTGTTGGCATACGGCATGCTGTCAAGAAGTTTGTCAGTCAATTTTTGGAACCACTGCATCTGTGAATCAGATGTCGGCTATTCAGCCTTTCTGTTAAGGAAAGGGATGGATTTGTTTTACAGCCAACATGCTGCTTTTTGTTGATTTGTTTGGTTGCCTCTGCAATTATGATGTGGTTACACGTTTTAATGACCACCTGATATTGATTTGTGTTTTTTCCTGTGAGTATAAATGTCCTCCTGTGTCAGTACCCGTTTCCATTTTCTGTTCATATATGTGTCCATGTGCCATTATCTGGCTGTGTAATTGGAGACTTTTCATACAGCCAACCAAAACATTAATTTTCAAGTCATAATATTTGCATAAAATGGCAACCCTCTCTCACTGGAATGACGGTGACATCAACTGCCAGACAGCAGCCTATGGCCAAGACACGAAGAGCCAAAGACTGTGTGCAAACAACAAACATTTGGCCGTAGTGTTTCTTTTTGCCTGAACACAATATCTTATCTTGCAACTTGGCTTGTTCTAACATTGGGCTAACATTGCTAGACAGGACAGAAAGGACTGGGGCTGAATATAAACTGTAAATCTGTCATTTTAGATACTGAGTGGTGTGGTTATTTTTCTTCAGTACATGTCTTGTAAGCTGCAGTTAACATAGCAAGTCTGTTTACATTGCATGTCTGTACTCCGTTTCCCTGAAGGCTCAGCTGTCTGTCAATCACGCACAACATCTCGTCTCCCCAGAGGCGTGGAGGCTAAAGGAGCATTGCTGATACATCTCCAGAAAAAACAATATCAACAGTATATTTGTTCAGTTAAACGTGATATTTTGACTGCAGGTTCTTTTTAACATCAAAAATGGATTTGCTGTGGAACTATCCCACTGGATCATTTTCTGGCTCTTCTCTAAGAGTGATTGCAGCTTTTATTTAGGTTGGGTCCTTGTTAGTCTGTGTGTGAAGCTCCTAAGTCCTTGAGGAACCCTTGATTCCACCTTTCTTTACATAAGATGATTAAGCAGTGAACACTCCCACCTGCTGAGTCAAGAAAATAAATCAAAGGCATTCCGTTTATTTCTGGGGATCAGAACTCTCTCTACAGTCTCCTTATTACCATGAAAATGGACTTGTCTCCTGTCTCCTGCACATTGTGCTTTGTAAACACCTGTCATCTCCACTCTTCTCTCGCTCATTGTTTGTTTTCCCCGTGTGTGTGTGTGTGTGTGTGTGTGTGTGTGTGTGTGAGACAGATCCAACGTGCCCTGCTTAGGAACAACCAGACTCAGCGTTTCTCTCAGAAACAGGCTCTCAGGCTGCACCAAGGCCTGGTCACCAGCACTGCTGAACAGGTGTGTGTCTGTATTTGTGCACATGATGGTGAACAAGTCAGGGTTTTTATTATGATGCATATTTTACTGACATTTCTGTATGTGATTACATGCATTCATGTATGTGCTTAATGTGTATGTGTGTGTGTGTGTGTGTGTGTGTGTGTGTAGGTGATGGAGCGTCTGTGTGTGCGCGTGCAGCAGCAGGTGTGTGTCCTGAAGGGCTGTGAGGAAGGAGAGGAGGTCCAGACGGCCAGACAAATCCTCAAAGAAGCCAGGGACTCAAGAGCTGTGAGTCGACTACCATTTTATTAGAGAGGGAGAGAGAGAAAGGGAGAGAGAGAAACTATAACTGTTGGCAGTGTTTGCTTTGTCCCTTCTAGATATGCCAGACTCAATGGAAGGCAACCTGCTGCATCTTTAGAAATAAAAGGCTTATTCTTATTAGCCTCATAGCTATTTTGCAGATTGAGATTTTACACTTTATAATGCAGGCACCCTTTATAAAGGGTTTTAGTAATGGTTAATTAATAATCTAGGAATATTTTATTTATCAGTTATAAGCAAATTAGAACAACTTTTAGGCTGACAAAAATCTGTCTGATTGGTCAAATTAGTTAAAAAAGGTTCATGAATAAGCCATCAAGTACATGTGATGTACTATGCATTACTATAGCATTTGAATTTACATCGTCATGTCTAGATAATAGTATGAGCCTTTCAGGTCTAAATAAAAAAAATCAGAAATAACTGCAGAAACTACAAACTCACATGGCATAGGTCGCTATGGCAACACAACAAAAAAACAACAACAACACACCTGAGTATAATACGCAGGTCCACTCAACAACCCTAAAAATAACAAGTTCTGTGTTGCACTCTGACTGTACCGGTGCGACAGAGAGTGAGAGAGACGAGTTAACACAGTGCCAAGCTGTGTAACGTTACATGTGCTCTCGCAGCAGCTGAAACAGTAAAACAGGTGAAAGTAACAAATATATATTGCTGCCATTTCACAATTAATTGGGAAAGCTTCCAACAAGAGCCACAGCGGTAGTGTCTCCTGAGCTAAACAGTTAACAGCTTAGGCTCTTCTGTATCCAGTTCTGGTTGAAATGTAGGCTTTACACAAATCTCCTTATTTTTTGTCACTTGGATTAAGATCCTTGGAAGTTTTATGGTGAAAAATCCTTCAAATGTGCATTTTTCACCTGTAACAGTCCCGCAATGTCTGACGCATCACAATAGAGAAGTCACCTCCTCTCAATTCCTGTTAGCCTAATGACTAACACATCAAGGAGAGTGGGCAAGCAGAGCCAAACAGGCTTAAAACCCAGTGTCTGATTCAGGAAATGATGGCATTAAGGTAAATAAACAACACATTAGTAATTAATGACATTTCTGAAAACTGATGGAAAGCCAAAACACACGATTAACACCAATAAGCTACAAATTCAAGATTTTGAGTTTTATATAAAAAAGGTTTCGAATAAGGCAACAGCAAAAGTTGGTAAAACTAGAGAGATTTTTCACAACCTGGAAACCCAAAATGGTATTTTTAATGCCTTTTAAACCAAAATAATTTATGAATCATAATAGATCATTAGAAAAATGGTACAGATTATGTACAGATATGATCAGCTTGTAAAATACAATTTTGTTATCAATTAAACCAAACAACAGTATATAATGTAGTTAAAGTTAGCTCACCCTTACCTACTAAATACCATCAAAATACTACTTACACATTAATAATAATTATGATATCATACATATAATGTTAGAACTTTCAGAAAAGGGATGTTCTGCTCAGTAACTATTACATTTCCTTTTGGTAACCTCTTCTCAACCCTCTCCTGTGTCTGTGCATTAGCTGTATCCCTCTCTGTGTGAGCTGGCCCACGTGTTGTCAGTGGACGGCCCTGTCAAACAGCGACTGGACACTCTGGCTGGAGAACTTGCCAAGGCTGCGGACAAAGAACTGCAGGTAGGTTGGAGGTGGAACTGTGGCCGTAATTGCAGAAACAGCCGTTCCCTGATGGATCTGTATTTTAAACAGTAGTGGAGTTCTGAACTAGTTGCATTTAAATTGCCCATTAATCGCGTGCGGCTGTGTGTGCGGCACAGGTATGCTGACTTCAAAAGAAATGTAGCATTTAAATTCACAGGGAAGGAACAGTTTAACATATTTTTTTTAGTTCTGTTCCCTTCGGGATTCAGTCGCACAGTGTAGTCGAATGATAAAAAACCAGAACACCCCGAGGAGGAATCTGGGATACATTGTATTGAATTTCAACTTACTTGAGCGTAATTTACATTTCTGTTTGTGCCTTCCAATTTTGTTGTTTTGCACAAGGCTACGTTTCTGATTTGCGAATCAATAAAATTGCAATAATATGAGCTATGTTTTCACGCACAAATGTCTAACTTTGGTGTAAACCGGTAAAGTTAAAGATCTGGCAGAAGGTGTAAACAGATCATATGAATTGCTACTAGCTGATTCATGGATGAATGGATTGCTGCAATGCAAGTAAATAAAAGATGCTAAAAGTCAGAGTAAAGGAGCTGGTTGGAAATCTAAGCAAGCAGATGAAAAAACACTGCATCAATAATTCAATGCTTTGGAAACATAAATGGGTACATATTGAGAATTTATAAAAAGTGTGCATTATGTATGTGTGGTGATGCATGTCTTGGGTCATTTGTGTCCAGGTGGTAGTGGACTCTATGGTGTCTCTGTGCCGAGAGTTGTGTCCGATGTCCTGCTCGGCCGCCGAGAGACTTAGCCCGCCGCTCTCGTCCATCTCTGAACAAGTTTCCATCCCCCGCTCCGCCATCCGCAACGCCCTCATGGAGAGAGCAGCTGAGGATATTAACAGAGCCCTGGAGTAAGAGAGAGGGAGCTGGTGAAACAGTTCAAACCAAGAACTTCCGCTAACACACTGATTTAATTGGTTGTCCCTTCTGTTTTCTTTTTTCTCTCGTGTTTTTAGGGAGGTGAAGTTGTCTGTGGTCTCCTATCTGACCAACTCCATAGTGGATCAGATTCTTCAAGAGCTCTATACCACTCATAAAACGCTGGTACTGGTAATATCACTTTACTGCATGCCTTTGTAGGAATGTAGAAACGTTTGATCGTTTGAAGCCGAAATCTATAACTTCACAGCAAAAATAATGAGTATCCAGCGTGGGGTTTACAAAGTTGTCTAACCTTGATTTTGGTGAAGTAAAAACTAATGTCACAACAAATACATTATTTAAGGACACAATGAACTTTAATGGTAGTGACAAACAGATGTGATTCACGTTTCTCAACAAAACTGGAGAGTGCAACAAAAAACAGAAAATGCCTCAAATTGAAATGCTTAAACCCTTTACTAAAACCATCATAACAATAAATTGATCAGTGAACATCACAGATTTCAGCTTTGAACTCTCATTTTTGAAATGTGTTTTAAAAAGGAATAGCTAAACATTTTGGGGAATACAGTTATTCGCCTTCTTGCAGACAGTGTGATGAGAAGATTGGTACCACTTTCATGTCTGTCCACTAAATCTGGAGCTGGAACACTTGAAATGGGTATCATTTTCTTGCTGCTCAACAAAATTCCTATTCCTATATAAATTATAAAAATCTGTGGAATACATCAGTATACTAAAAGTCCCTGCTTATCGCAGATCTCACATTATTGATAAAATGTTGCATGCATTTTTGATAGAAGTAAACTCACATCGATGTAGAGCAGATATTTTCAAGCAGAGTGCTGTAGAGTCAGGCCAGAAATGCCTCCAGATTACACTCAAATGTTGAAAGTCAACACTCAACTCACTAAATCGAATCTTAATCTTAAGGTAAGAAACAGTAGTGGTGCAATTTGATTCCAGTGCAGAAGCTCATTATTACTCTATGGTCTCTTAAGACTTTCTGTAGCATGGAGGAGCCATTAAATATCCGATATGTGTTGAAAATGTGTGATATAAATCTCCCATGCTGCCAGTTAGGTTGTGTATCTTTAATTTGTAGTATCTTTGAATGACTGAAGTTGACTCCACATTTGAGCTGCTGTGTGTCATTACTGTATCAGGATGAAGGGTTATGAGTATAGAGCTGCCTTTTTAGGGGAATATTGCACTCAGAAACAACATAACAACTAGATTTGAGTCAGTTAAGGAAATGATTAGACCCTGCAGGTTCTCCTCTCCATAAAATTAAATTGTTTAAAATGAAGCCAGTGGAAAAGGAGGCAAAAATAGACTTCTGGCAATAACACCGCCTGCCCTGCTCTGTTTTGCATTCCATTCACTGCCTCCACTGTTACATCTCATTTTCCTTTCTGTTTTACTGCAGTGCCAGTTTGTCCTCTATCATGCCTCTCTCCACTTTGATAATCAGGATATTGTATTTTATTCGTATTCTTCATGGGCTTTGCCAACTACAGCAAAGCACCCCTGCTTTGTTTGAGAGCTTCTTGGGTACAAGGGCGTACACACTTCTCCTCTGAGATTGTGTTGAAAGAGATTGTTCAAAGGGCATCCATCTGTGTGTTTGTGTGTGTGGACAATGTAATACCCATGATGTGCGGACATAAATCTGTTCGCACAGTCACATTGTAAGGACTCGCCTTCCTTTTGGGGACAAAATGCAAGTCCCTACAATGTAAATCTTTAAATTAAGGGTTAGGGTAAGGGTTAGGTAAGTAGGGGTTATGGTGAGGGTCAGTCTCCAGGAAATGAATGTAAGTCAATGTAATGTCCTATGAAGTAATGGAAACACAACTGTGTGTCTGCGTTCATGCGTCTGTTTGATGTGTGTGTTGCATCAGCTGCGGCAGGTGTCTCAGGTAAAGCGCTGGGATGACGTTGGGACGGGCAGACGCACTATCAGACAGTCCAGAATAGTCGAGTCGCTGGATTTTCCTGATGAGGACTTTGGTGTCAACCTGGGAATAGTAAGTGTGTGAGGACGTGCTGATAACGTGTGTGTGCTTGGAAAGTGAATAGCTCTAGTGAATACATTATTTATCGCAAATGTAGTACTGATAGAGGTAAATGAATTAGTTGATATGCACCTAGTGACAACTGATAGTATACGTGATTTCTCAGGCAAAAACAGTCACTAGTTTCAGCTTCTGAATGTGTGAATTTGCTAATTTTCTCTGTAGCAAATCCTATAATTGAGTACTATTGGGATTTGGGCTGTTGAAGGGACAAAGAAAGGATAAACATGTTAAAAGAATTCTCATCAGCTTTTCATCCCCTTTACTTTGTCCCGAATTTCTGAAAGCTTTTTCTCCACTTTGCTGTTTTGTGCTGTGAAACAACCAAACTGATTTCATGTTGAAATAAATGCACAGCATTTTATTATTGTTGGTTTACAAGACATTTATGTTTCAAAGTGTGCTGGAGGTACAAGGCATTTCTCATTAAACATTTATCTGCTTTGACAAAAGGACACAATGGCTATTAAGAAGCGGAGCTCCAGAACTAGAAGAATTCGTCCCGTCTCCACCAGACTGAGTGAGTTTTTGTGCCTTGACTCGCAGCTAATTGCCCTAAAGTGCTCATATAGCCTGATGTATTTACAGTAATAGCAGGGTCAGGGTCAATTGATTTTCTGTTTGCCTTTCTTCAGCCACACAAGTGGTGTGCATCTTACCATGATGAAATGAGTCATCACGTCTTTCAGTATTTAAGCTGGTTTTAACTTTTCTCTGCTCCTGTTCTGTGCTAATGCCTCTGTTAATAGTAACTGTGTTATTAGCCAGTGTATTTAATTTAGCATGTAAAATCTTAAATGAAAGGGTTAACCATTTTGGGTAATAACATAGCATTCTCTCTGATAGTGCCCTCAGGCCAAATGTGACATTTTTTTGACCCATTAGTGGTAATGGTCTAAGAACAGTGGAGTTGTCTCTCCATTGTACCCATTTTCTGCCTCACAGAGCATGGCTTTGGGCTTTCTTTACTCAAAATTATTTTAAAATAAAGGCTATAAAAAGTTCTCGTATCTGAGTTTAGAAAAATGGAATGTGAAAACTTTTGTAGTAATTATTTTATTGCAGCTACAGTCTGTTCAATTAAAATCAAAGAGGGTTGATGAACGGGTTAACATGCAGGTCAAACCATGAGGGGACATGAATTTTCCCGTTTTGTCATAGGTCTAGGTGATGAGCCTAGTCCCTCTCCTACCCCCTCTGCTCCAACCCACTCCGCCCCTCTTACCCACTCGGCATCATGGGAGTGTCTGTCCACCCTCCCTACCAATGGCTCGCCCTTGCGTCACGTGACTCACGTCAGGCCTCGCCCACCACGGAGACACAGAGCAGGGCATCTTCCCCCGGAATCTGTAAGTTGATGGCATATGGCATGGCAGTGGCCTTTTGACCTTTTGACCTTTTATTATGATCTTCAGGCAGGAGTCACCTTTTCCCTCGAGCTTCTTGTAATGGAAAACTCTGCAGAGCAGTTTCTCTGCTCTGGACAAATGCACCTACACCTGACTCTATCACAGCTAGCACTTTAACAATAGTATCTGCACTGTGTTTTTTTTTATGGCACCTAGAAGGTAAAGGAGTCTTTATTGTGCCAGTAACATTACTGTATATGTTTAACTGCCCCATTTTTGATCCCATACAACAGCATGAAGTTCAGTACATGCATTTCCACAAAAGAGCTCAGGAGGGTATAGAGGTAAAAAAGTAAACCAAACATGTAGAGTTCTTAGGTTTTTTTTAATCTTTTGACTGCTTTGTGTGAACTTTTGTTATTTATCTTGTTTTCCATGCCAGTGGCACTTTCCAAAAATAAGTTCCTTTCAAAGTAAGAAGCTGTCGCATGTGTCTCTGTGACTCAAATGTTAATCATGCACAGCCATCTCCCAGGGGCCGCGGGGCAGCCTCTAACTTAGCAGCTTGTTTGTTTTGAGACTTTGTAAAAGCTTTTTTTTTTAAATCGGTACAAACTCAGTTAGGGCAGCATGATGAGGAGTTGTTTTACAAACAGACTTTTGTTGGCAGTGGATTCGGTTTTGCCAGCCAGCCATTTGAAATGATAATACCTTTTGTCAGCCTTTCAGCTTTTTGTCGACATGGTGGATTGATCATTGTTATCCTGTTATTCGATCTGTTTCCTGTTGTGTGTGTGTGTGTGTGTGTGTGTGTGTGTGTGTGTGTGTGTGTGTGTGTTGTGTGTGTGTGTGTGTGTGTGTGTGTGTGTTTAGCATTGCTCAGAGAATGGAGGAGTCAATATGCTGGAGGATGGACTGCCTGATTTCTACAGCAAGAGAGTTCTACCCGACAGGTAGCTCTTTTTTTTTTTTTTTGTGTGTGTGCCATCATGTTAACAAATGCAGCAGATAATGTCATTCAGTACAGTGGGCCCTGAGGACAAAGGCCACAAACAGCTACGGGCGTACTGGGGCACTGCCAAATCAGGTGGATCAGTAAAACCTGATATTTCTTCTTCAGATCTAAAGAGAAGACACAAGAAATTAATCTTGTAACCATGTGAGACATTTCTCATTAGTATGAGATAATCATCCCTTAATGATGGGAAAATTCTATTTTACGACAAAATAATTTGGTTATCAGAGTTAAGTTACCATCCAAAACAGCACTTGTTACTGGGACCTGGGGCTGGTATATTACTGGAACAACTTTCAGGAAGCTAGGATCAATATATTTATATGAACAATGGATCAGATGACTACTTGTGATTGTATAGGGTGTTTCTGTAATGCTGAACCCACAGTGAATTATTGCACAATTTCCAGTCAGCCGTACAGAGCATTTTAGTGTCTTTCTGGCTCATTGCTTTGCAGTTTTAGAGACTCTCAGCAACTTCAATTGTTTCTGGTGTCACCTCTTGAGCCACAAATTGCGTTCTTACTTTCCAGCAGCAGAGGCTGTTTTCTGTGAAAAAGTTATAAAAACATATATACACTATACACTAATTGCACTTGAAGCTACCTGTTGGTATAAAACTGTGTTTTCAAATGTTTTATAAGAATGGAAATGCATTTGTTAGACAAGAAGAATACACACAATGCATTTGGTGAGTAACAGTACTAATCGGTGGACATGGTGAAGCATTTAGCAGCCTGAGAGCCAGATATTTTGTTTAAGAGTTAGTGGAAACCAGATCCCAAAGCCTCAAACAGAGAAGGAAATAATACCAAAACAGTAGTTTCATCACAGTCTGTCTTCTCAGATGGTGACTGGTCTTCTTGATCATGATTATGGAATAGTTTTCTAATAAATATCACATAAATATTTCCTAATGATGAAAATGTGTCCTCGTAATTACAAGATGCTTAGTTCTAATCATCAGTTCTAGTCACAATTATGAGAAGTAGGATTTTTTTTTCCCGTTTGTGAAAGTGATGTGGTTAATTAAAATGGAAATGTTATCAGTGTTCCATCCTGTTGTATTGAATTGAACAGAATCACTTCATGCATTTAAATGAAAGTGAATGATACTGATACTGTGGTTGCTTAACATGTATTTAAATGCATCAAATTAATTCTGTATGAAGATGTGCTTTTTTTTTTTTTTAGTGGGTGAGATGCATGTGTTACTGTAGTAGGGTACATCTGCTCTGGTCACAAAATAAAATGGCACCTGTGTGTACCACTGTGCTGCACAAAAAATAGCAACATGTTAATACACCTACCTACATAAGAGAAGTGTTCCTCCTGTATGCTACATGCAGTAAAAACAGGACTATTAAATGTCCCTTTCTATAATGCCTTTGTACTCATGTCATGTAATGGTATCAATGATGAATGAACAGTATGCTCTTACAGCACAGTGGGCACAGATGTAGTGCAGAGGTTCCATTTGCGCTGAATGGAAGCCTCATTTGTAGCCCGATTTGTTAAATAACTAAAGCATATTCCATTATATAAAATAAATCATCTTGTTTACAGTCCCAGTCCAGCCTCCTGTTCAGTAACACATTTTCTTTGGAACTGTACAGTGGTCACACAAAATTGTTTCTGTGCTTTTTTTCGGTATTAGCAAGTAAGTACTGACTGTGCATGTTCACAGATCTGTGGTAAAGCAATTATATATGGCGGAAACGCAACTAAACGCTCATTAAAACAACATATTTTAGCCACAATTTAGTGTTTGTTGTCAAATAATCACATAATCAATGCAATTCCAATAAAGCACTGTATGTAATAGTGTGCCCCACTGATGATGGTATCCTTTTGGGTCACTTTAAAGCAGCTGTAATCAATTTCTCTGCATAAACAATGGATCACATGACTACTTGTACGTGGAAAGGGTTGTGTAAATTGATGAACTCGCAGATAATTAGCATATTCGAGCTAATTTGTTGTTTGTTGAGCATTTAGCAGCTAAAAAGCCAGCTATTTCCCTCAGGAGTTTGTGGAAACCAAGAACAGAGCTAAAAGGAGGACTGTCATTCTGGACAGAAACACAAATCCAAATGAATGCCAATGCTAATATTGCACTAATGTGTAGCCTACTATAAATAAACTATAAACTGTTTGCTAACGAGTTTTCCATATCAACTTCAAAAAGGTAATGATTCGTTAACGTGTTTACAGCTTGTTTTTGCTACCCCTAAGTGACCCAAAAAAATCAACCATTGATGGTTTAAAGCAGCACCTTGTGAAAAATAAGATCCATGCTCAAGTAGGCTATATATTATTATATAATATCTTAAATCTTAAATTAAAACTGCATATTTTATTGCATAGATATAAGTGATACTAGTAAAAAAGAAATGCTTAGGCTATTGGGGGAAAAAACTACAAAAGCCAAACTCCTCAACCTTCAGTCTACTGCTGCAGTTGCTAATTTTAAGATACAAAATACTTTTGAAAGAACTATTGGTACAATTTTAAATTTGTGATTATTCACTAAAGTCTCATTTAATTGACATTAAGGTGGTATAATGCAGATTTGACACATTAAAACTCAGTGTTTAAGATAGCAATTTACCTTATTTGGGTATCCCATAATTTAAGATTATTGATTGAGATTGTAAGAAAATGTGGCTCAGAAATCTTCAACTGAAACTGCATCACTACCCAAACCTACACGGAAATAGTAGTAGTTCCCAAAACAGTTCTACGGCTACATGTGCTTAATGCTCACCAGTAGTGCATGAAAATGATTCATTGAGGCTGCATAAACCATGCCTTCTGTCAAATATATTAAACCATCTGTACAGGCCCAGCCAAAAAAACGTCTATGGTTAATTAGCATAAGTGACACATAATGTATTCAGCTGTTAACACTGGCATCCTTTATCCAATGATGCATTATATATTATGTATACTGGTCAATAATGGTGAATGGCTAGTTGCATTAATAGTAAAACCTCACCAAAATGAAATCTTAAATCTAATCCTACTTTATATATCTTTGTTTATAGCCATATGTTCCTTTGCTTTGTTATCTTTACCAATAACCTCTCTCATTTCTCCTTCTCTTTCTCTCCTCAGTCAGTTGTCGTCCCTCCATCAGGCCCAGTCATTGAGGAGAAAGAAAAGACGCAGCGTGTTGTCCATTTTCTCCGGTTTCCGCAAGAACCGCAACTCCACCATCTCTAATCAGGACTCGGAGTAAGTATGTGGCACAGGGGCTGAGTGGAAGGAGGGGATGAGAGAAACATTTAAGTGCACAGACCCAGAGAATGAGATGGCTGTTAAATTAATCCAGCGCGGAGCATTAACGTCACTTCATAGATTCATAAATATTTTAATGGAAGAAAATATTTCGCTGTCTCCAACTGTTTTCCTTTGCCTTAAATTTATGCCATTGCATACATTTAAGCTGCTGTTACATAACGGCACCATAGTTAAAAAGAAGACAGCAGTATGGCAAAGTGGAAAAAGTACAAGGTGGCAAACTTATTTAAAAAAATTAATTACACAGATTAATAGCTAAGGGAAGGGAATTGTAATCTGCAGGCACTCTTTGTAAACTTCACCATTAAAAGGAGTTAGAGAAAAGGGCACTCAGTGAGAGCTACAGCAAGTATTTTAGCTGACAGAGGTGCCTACAAATTCAACTTGAAGGAATTGTGGTGAGGCTAAAAATGGGTGACGCAATCGCCTCTGCTGGTTAACAACCTTGCGCGGGAGTTCCACTAGACGGTGGCCAAGTTTACAGCAGCCTACAGCCGTCTGAAAGAGAAGCATAAAAGAATGGATGACTCATCTTAAAGCCAGTTACAGAAAGAAATGGCTTTTTAAAAACAGTTTACCATGTTCTGTAGTGTTTTACCAACGGATTGTTGCTAAGCAATCAAAGAGATTGTTTGGTGCTGCATCCACTTGGCTGCCCTCTGCATCCATTTCTTTTGTCTTTTTTCAGCAGCACAGTGTGTGTGGGAAGTGTGCCAGCATCTGGGCCAAAGACGTGTTCATTCAACTACAGCATCTTCAAATTGGTGACATAGTTATGTGCTCATCAAAATTTCTTGTTTTTCCGTCTGTCTGTTCCAGCAGCGCCTTAGAGAACGTCTACTCAATGATTCAGCACCCTAAGGATGCTGGGAGGCCAGAGAGCGCTGTTCCTGGAGCAAATGGGACCATGTCTTCACCTCGGCCCACGCAGGGTGTACCTCTGCATGGGATGAGGGCTGCCAGCCCCCCCTGCCTCATCCAAAGACAGGTACAGTGACAAAGTTGTTACCATGGTTCAGCTAGAAATCCAAACTTCAAACTCTTATGGGAGCTACTCACAGTGAATCCCAACCAGCTCCAAGGGGAGCTATTGTGACCTTTGCTAGCATATTGACGCTCCTAAGTGTATTTAACTTCCAAATAGCCAAAAGATTTTGGCACACATTGCACTATTCCTCTGTGGAGTAGTGCACCAGTCTGGCAGAGCAAACAGTTTAAAGTGAATGCAAATATGTAACTATTTCAATACCATATCTTCTGTCTGCTTCCAGTATAACTAAAAAGGGATCCAAAATGTGAGCTTGCTTCCAGTTCCAATAGTTTCACATGGCACAGCACACTGCATGCTGAGCCTACCACCTGCTATTCCCAGCCTTTTTCTGTGTTGTACTTGTTTGGCTTGTCAGAGGTGTGGAGGACTATATGACCTATTTTAAATCTCTCCACACACACACAGAAGGAGCTGGAGTCATTCAAATCCCTTTGGTTCTTAAAGTAGAGTCCAGGGATCCTCACTGATCCTTGAGGGGATTTGAGGGCATCCCCAGTAAAATGAGGGATAATTAGATTTTGGTGTAATTGAATTTGCTTGAATTACAAATTTTAATCATAGCCTTCACTCCTCACTACCGTCACCACCAGAGTATACGGTTAAATGACTCAAGGAATCCTGGTCAGCCTGTTCTATCATACAAAGGTATTTGAATATCTGACTTTTTTATGGTTTGACAACTCATTTTTCAATTTTTTTTTTGTCCAGTCCACAGACCTGGTCAGCATGGTGTACAGCTGCATCGGGGCAGAAATCGAGGACTCAGATGGGAGCAGCACCTGTGACATCAAAGAGACAGACGATACTGACAGATCTACCACCATCTCAGATGCCCCTGCGGATACTCGGAGTAACGGCCACGTGGTGTCCTCCAAACAACAGACGGACAGACAGATGGAGACGGGGAGGCAGGAGAGGATCGTACCCCTGACAGACTCACAGGCTGAGATGGACGAGGACAGACAGAGCGGCGGCGGAAGTGTGGCCCCCTGTGGGCCGAGACCAGAGCCACCTCCACAGAGTACCAAGCCCAGTCTGGCTGCCATGAGGCAGAGACACCTGCAGGAGAGTTTAGGTACTGCAACTTAGACAGCAAGTGAAGCTGTATTACAAGTATTTTAGCTGGACTGCTCATACAAACAGCCAAACTGAGTCTGAATACTTGATTTTTCACTAGATGATTAAACTTGAAAATAATTTTTTTGTGTTCGATAAAGAGCAGAAACAGTTCGACCACAATCATTATTTTGTCCTGCATTCATGTAGGATTAATGTTGTGTTTACTGTCTGTATTCACAGCATATTTAATACATAAAATCAGAGGCCATTCTTAATTCACATCCTTCCAGATACTGACTTAGTGCTTTTTTTCCCTCATTGCTATTTGTATAATCTTGAAATGACCATTGCAGCTTCTGTATTGACGAGAACTAGATACCAAAAACAGCGTTATTTTATAATTTAGTGTTATAACTAAACAATCATTTACTTTTTAGAGAATCACCACATTATGATACACATAATATTGTGAAAGCTGTCTGTCATTATACTTTTGTTTTTTTTTTCAAAATACTTACATGAAAGTAAGCAGCATATTTTTTAATAATGTTAAGGTAATAATGTTTAGAAATGTATAGATGTCAGCGGATTTTTGTATCACTGTTCTGTTTACAGTTAAAGACCTCAAAAGAAGCCATATAAAAAGTTAGAAAACTACATGTAACATTGCAAGAACAGTTGAAAAAGTAGATCAACATCTTTAAAAGTTTTTAAAACAACTGTGTCAAAGTGAGTTCAGTGAGAGGAACAGTAGTGGACAGATATTTAATGGCTTAGCCCCAAATGTACGCTGTTCTGAACTATAGGAGCCTTTACAGAGAGAGGGCCATTGTTAAGGGCTATTGTTAGTTTCAAGTCTAGACTTTGTAATGAGCCAAAACACTGCAGTTACAAAAGTAGCTATAGACTTCACTCTGGCTCAAAGGGAATTAAAAGGTCAGTCCAATAGACCCAGGCCCAAACCTGCCATGCCATAAAATCAATGTAAGACCTGCAGATTGACTTTAAAAACAGAGAAGTGATACAGAAAAGAGCACTTTTTGTAGGTGTTTTGTTGTTTGCCATTTACTTTATCCTATTTTTTGTTTGTGTGGTATATGTTTGGCAGTGATTTCAGTCCCAGCCCTAGCTAAGGCTTACATTTGTAATTACAGAATAAAATGTGTGCTCCTGCTACTTGTCAACATTTGTACTTAAGGGTTTTTACTTTCAAACAGAGCTTTGATTGATCATTGTGAGGACTGTGTTGTTGTGTTTTTAATCTTACCAGAAGAGGCAGGAAGGCTGATGGGAGAAGAAGAACAGAGTGAGAGAAAGCATGAAGAGAAACAGAGAGCACGAGGCCCAGAGGGACAGCGTCCTCTTATACCCAATAAGGTACACGTACAGCATGTAAAACAGTAAGAAAATATAAGACACATAACTCTGCTCCGTAACCAAATGCTGTGTTCCTCCCTTAGCCCAGTCTCGACATCTCAAGAGACAAGATGTCCCCGGAAAGGGCTGTGACCTCTCCCAAAACCTCACCTGTCAGTCCAGGTAAAGAACCAACCAATGATCAGAGAAGCTTACCTCCTGCTCAGCCAGTCATTCAAGAGGAGGAGACTGATGAGAGGACAACCCCACCAGCATCTGCCAAGCATGGGATAGAAGCAGCAGATCCTGCCGGTCAAGGTACTGTAGCACTGTTATTTTACAGAAAGGATGGTGGCAGTAGTCAGACATTGTGTGGGGGTAGATCAATGGTTCCTGACCAACACTCAACCTGGGGATTGCCAAAGCTTCACGGGGGCTTGGGAGGGTGTAAGAAAACTACATAATGTTAGGCTTATATCCCAGCATTCTGTTCGTTTGTGAAAGAAAATTAAATTTGGATTTTTAAAGTTTATATTAATATTTAAGATGGTAAACAGTGAAGAAAAACACAAAAAGACTAATAGCAAAATGGTGAAACGTGTTAAGAAAGAAGAAAACTGAATTTGTCAAAAAAAAGCATGAAGTATGTATTATTGTTAAAAATATATACAATACAGACAGAGAATTGCATTAAAAAGCTCCTAAAAAAAAACTCATCTCTGATTCACAGGAAATAATCTGCTCAGAATTCATCCAAATCACTCGTTTATACAAACTTCCTGCAGTTCTATATGGGTTAACTGTCATAATTAATCAGCGGTTGTCAGTTTACTCAGTGATACAAAAGAGGTGCCTTAAGAAAAAAGGTTGGGAACCACTGTGGTAGCTCACTCCCAATAAAACAGTGTGGGTGGAACTTGAATGAAGTTTACTTTTTTAAATGTGAAATAGGTCTTAAATTGCATTCATAATGGTCTTACAAAGGTCTTATAAAAAACCTGCTGGAACCTGCAGAAACCCTCTGTATAGCCATGGTAGCTGTTAGTGCTAATGTCCCATTTCTGCTAGACATATAGGGGACAGAACACTGTATGTTACTGATGTCAATAAGGCCATATGGACAGAATAAGACAGCACAGATGATGATGACGATGACGATGATGATGATGATGATGGTTATGATTGTTCCACCAACCAGACGAGGAAGAAGGTCGTAATGGATTTCCAGCAGCATCCCGACACACCAGGAAGTCCAGCTCATTCGACATAGGTACTGTATGTCTGAATATGTGGCTATAGCGCCCCCTGCTATTGTGCACACACAATATGCATGCTCTTCAGTTATACACATGGCTGTCTGAGTCAAGTGCACGTCTTGCTGTTTTCGTTCATAATTTATAACAATGGTGCAACGCCTTTGTTATTTTGTATCAAATGAAAGCAGCTTGAGTCCCCCTTATTTGATGTGCTCCCAAAGCCTGTAGAGCTTGCTGGCTGTGTGCTGCATTACTGCTTTACCCTGCAACCCCTTTCTCAGTTCCCACACCCTACTCTGTGTGTGTGTGTCTCGTGCCATTTCCCCTCAGGCATGGAACGGGACAGCCCCTACGATCTGGAGAGGTCTTCAGATCGCAGATTCCCTGTGAAAAAACCCTGTTTCCCCCAGTACAGAAACAGATCTCTGGACTGCCCTGCTGGGACCAGGTGTATGTATCTGTTTCTCCTCCTGCAAATATGTGTGGTATGACAGCCATTTAGCAGGAAAGGTTTGCACCCCTGAGGGGTAGTGCAAAACAAAATTATTTTTAAATGATTTCTGTCTGATGTGGTATTCTATTTGACTAAAAGTAGTAAAAAATTCAGTTCATGAAGTTAATTAAAAGCAAAAAGAAGTTGCTGAAAAGTGTGTACAGCTTCATTTTTTCTTTTACTTTTGTGTATACTTTTCAGAGCTCTGCGCATACATGGGTGACTCATACCGTACATATTGAATGCATGCTTGTTCCGGTATATTAAGGGCTGACCAAAGGAAGCATAATTTAAAGACGGAATTAGGCTTTTTTCCAGAAACGTCTCATTGCAGCTGGCAGCCGGCTCTAATACTGCATCCTGGATAAGTGTTCTATTAGACTAGGACTTCACTATTTTTGACATAAGGACCTTTTATCATTCCTGCTTTAATTTGAGCTGATTCTTTTTTGAAACCCCTGTGTTCCATTATTGAGATAATTGGCAGCCATGTTTAGCTGATTCATCATCCGTTTCTACATTGAGCCGTTTGGCATCGAAGATGAAAACCCGGAGGCAGTGGAATTGAAGGGCCACTAATGACATGGCTAAACCACTGCCAATTACCTCTGTAATTCAGAACTGTATATGGAGAACCTGCTGCAGGGGACTCGATTATCGTCACTGTGAGAGTGATAAAAGGGTCCACATGTCACAAATGATGATATAAAAGCCAGTTATATAGAAAGTGTGAAACCTTAGTGCTCCTGTGAGTCCTGTCTGGTTACATTTTAGGGAGGCTGATGTATCAAGCAGAGACTTCATAATCTGGACAACAGGCACATTGTCATGGGTGTTTCCTGTACACACTAAAAGTGTAAGGAGTGTTTGTGGCAAATCAGATGTCTAATTCCATGTTTTTTGTATGGCCACTTGGGGGCAGCAGAACAAGTTAAAAACGAATCTGATATACAGTATTATATTCTTAAAATTGATATGGCAAATGTGTAAGCAGACTGTTTACACATCCAGCACACGCAGAACTACATTAGTGTTCATATGGAGTCGTGTCTCCTGACACCTGATGAATGCAGATCCAATTTTTTATTCTCCTTTTTTAGAATTTAGCAGCTAAATGCTCCACAATTCTTTCTAGCTAGTCACTAACTTTGTCTATCTGCTCAACAGGCAGAGTAAAGTTCGGTTTATTTATTTAGAATTGTAAATTGTAGTGCAGCTTTAAAGTCATACATTGACACTGTATTTGCTTCTGTAGGTTATGAAAGTCCCCAGCTTGGGAACAAAGAAGCGTTATGACGTTACCAGTGGACCAGAAGAAGTTTGCTGGGAAGGGAAGACTTGAACATGGAGGACTGGAGAGAGACGAGCTTTTAAAACTTTGTGGACTCAACTTACAAAGATCCAAACAGCAGCTGCTTTTCCTTTTTAATCCATTTAAACGTTTGTTACTGAAAATGCATGTACTGTATGCTTTCTGTTTTTAACTGGTTGCACTTGCTGTGGTTTTTCTCAGGCATAAGGGAAGCTCTGACCTGCAGTACATAAAGCACACACAGTAGTTCAATGTCTCTCCAGTATGCTCATTATGAAATGTTGTTTTATGCATTTGTGCGAAATCATTGGATTATGCTACGTCTTCTCATCTCCTCCCTGTCTTTTACTGACAATCTGTGACTGCTAAAAGTGAGTTTGTACTGTATTTATTCTAATGGAGATGTACATACTGAATATAAGACTGCACTAACCAATGTGGTACCAGTTAACAATCATGTTTTTCTTTGTGATAATATATCATTTGGTAACTGTGTTTGTAAGTATGCTTTTGGTGTATGCTGATGTTGATGATTGAGAAATGTGTTTTCATGCACTTAGCACTCCCATCTCTTCAAGAGTATTTAAGTCAGTCAGTGGATCACATACAGGTTTAATCTGATTTTGCAGGCCTGAAAATGAGTATATTTTCTAAAAATGCTTCTATGAATCAGAATAAATAAAATTGACTTTACACAAGGGATTGGATTCTTTTGAAGTGGTGTTTATGATGCATTATTCTGCTCATGCAATACATTTAATTATGAGAGTACATGGGTTAACCAAAAGGGAACTCCAGCAAGTTTTACACATAAAGGTCAGTTTTAGTCATGGGATTTACTGCTTGTATAATATCTGCTGTTGTTAGCTCTGTCAAATCTAGGAAAATAACTCGTGGCTTGGAGTTGTTAACTACATATTTTTAAAGGAATAGTTGGACATTTTAAGGATTGCACAAATTACCTTTTTTACAGTAACGTAACATATGGAACAGGACCCACAACCTATTGGGAAGTCACTGGCCTGAGCCAAAATACAGTTTCAGCACATAACTCCCTGTTAAACCACATTTTTTTTAACATTTAGGTTGTGTGTATTACCAATAAGCAATACAAGAAGTTAGTGAGGGATTGAGGTGGTGGTAGACAGATTTGTTTACCTTGGGACAGAGGCTAGTAAGCAGTTTCTCCCAGCTTTCAGTCTTTATGCTGAGCTAGGTTAACCGCCTCTTGGCTGGAGCTTCATATTAAAAACAATAGTTTATATATGAAGCCATTGCATGCAAATGTTAGCTTAGCTTTCAACCTTATGACTGTTGTATGAAACCTTTCATACACCAGTCATAAGGAGGGCATGACACAACAAAGAACAGTATTCATGTCTCAGAGGACTGATCACGTCTGACAGGAAATTAAAAACCTGAGAAAAACATTGGCTAAAACTTGATTCAAAACTGTGTCTAAAGAAGGCCCAGATAAGCATTTAAGTCTAATGGTGACACAGATGTCTCTTTACTACTTGGTGATATGATGACTCCAGATCCCTTTTGAGCGACTGTTTCTGTTTCTGAGCAGCAGATGGCAGCAGAGACTGACTCTTCCAGCCTGAAACTGCCTGCTTACGGTTCCAGTGACACATCGTGATGCACTGTCTGACTGACACTACCATAATCATAGATCTTAGCAGCAGTTGCTGCAATAATGAAGGCAGAATATGCATGATGATACAACTGTTGTGATGTTGATTTTTGCAGATTAGATCAGCCCTTAATTGACAGTATAAACATGCTAATAAATGACTCCTGCCTCTGGCATATAAACAGCAGATTAGGCCCATACTGTAGGTGCTGCATGCTCTCTGGCATGCGCATGGCTCAGGGACACAGGTGAGATCAGGCTTGGATGACTTTGTCAGCTTTTCCAAACAATGATGAGCCTGTCTGTCTTGTGAAAATGAGAAGCTTTTAATTCCCTCCATCCAGTCACCTGATCTGCCACGCTGCCAGGACAGACTACAGCCAGGGGTGTTGCATTCACATTCACTGGGTCACCGGATAAGCTCGGTTAATTCTCGCTCAGTCTTTCCATCCTCACACAGTCCCACACACCATATGCTCAGCTGAATGTTTCATTGCGGTACATGTAAACCTACACGCTTAACAAAACCAAGTGTACATGCACATTATTATCAGAGGGTATTCCAGCTCATTCATCTTGATGCATATCAGATGGTGTGAGGTGTGCACCGAGTAATCTGCATGTTTCTAAACTCTCTCATTCATCTATGTCTGCAGTATTTGTGCAGAAGTGTGTGTTCCTCTGAATGTGTGTGTGTATTGAATGTGTTCAGCACCAGCAGATGGGTCACCAGCAAGCCACTTGACTCGCTGTGTCAACAGTGGAGGGCTAGTAATGAGTTTATATGAGCCAGTGTGCTCCAATGTGCACCTACTGAGCAGCACAAAACCTGGTGCCAGAGCAGGAGCAGGACACATGGAGGGTACCACTGTGCGTATGGCGTTAAGAAATTAAATAATAACACCAGGGGAAAAGAAGGGATATAAGCTTGGTGTAACCATGCCAAAATTCCTATTTCCTAGTTTACCTGTATACAAGCAGTGTGTATTCCTCTACTCAGAGCTTGTAACCACTCATTTAAGCAAGTTGTATTTGCTATGAAAGACCCAAATCACACATAAAGGGAGTGGACTTGGACTATTAGGTTCCCTATTTACCAGCACTGTAGCACTCGAGTCCAGTCTCATAAGTTTTTTTCTGTTGTCTCCGACTTAATTCTGAATTCCAAATATTCTAGTTGGTCTTAACCAAGTCCAGCAATATATGTGTTTGTTTGCCTTCTTAAAAAACAAAACAAACAAACATTGATGACTTGTGCTTCTTCAGAACACGGGTATTGGTCTAATTGAAAATCCATCCAGAACAGGCATAGTTACCTTGTTACGTAACCATGGTTACCAGGTGGCAAATCAATGTCACTTGCAATCCTATGCCTGAATGCCAAAACTCATCTCATACGCAATGACAAAAACATTCTTTTTCTTGTCTCTGTCTTCACTCTGTCTCTCTCATTTGGACTCGGTCTTGACTCAGATTCAAATAGTCCTTTGCGGGTTCTTGGATATGTCTGGCGGCCAGCGTGGGAGAAAGCAGTGAGTTTTTAAGGAAGGTGTGCTATGCAACTAGCGCTATCTGCTATTCATGTTTTTAGTGGTTATTAATTTCATGCGGGGTCCATTTGATGCAGTAGAACAAGTATGGTGGCGGTGAAGATGCAATCAACATCCGATGCTCACAGAAGCTACTTCACAACTGTTATTTAAACTTCGTTGTGTCCTATCAATGTGAAAAGACACGCCAGCGTCTGATCTGCAGAAAATAAGATAAATATATGGTGTGATTAACAAGCGAATGAACATTAGCCAGCCTAGACAATTCGGCCTGCCCAACATATTCTAAAAGTAGAGGCGGTAACAGAGAGTCTAGTAAATGGACTTGAATATCTTCCATACTTCCGTGACCTTATTGCGTTGTAGATGTGAGCGGAGTGGGTTAGGTCAGTCTTAGTCAGGGTAGCAGAGAAGCATGTCGGAAGACTGAACCTATTGGCTCCTCATGTGTCAGCTATCTGGTGCACAACAAGCTGTGACAGACCAACTACTAACCAGAACTCCAAATTTCACTGTTTTTGTTTGTGTCGCTTGAGCAGCTGTGCTTTTTAATCTTCTTGTAGCAATTGGTGCAGTGGGAAGAAAAAATAAGCTTGAGGTCAAGCAAAATAGTCTGCAGCCTGTTTAAGGACTGGGGAAGTAGAGCAGTGTTTGTCATAGAAAAGCAAACTAAGAATGCTTTTTTATCATTTTTATGTGTACAGATCAGACCAACAGATGATACCTCTAATTATCTCTAAATGTAAGGACTATAACAAATAACAGACTGGCAAACCTGAACATTGTTCTTCTCTCTGAATATATTATTAAGTTAGGCTTGCAGATGGTTCTAGACCTTGGAAACTGCGGCTGACAAAACGATGTTCACTCAAGGTCAACTAACTTTGAGCTTTCAACCATGTTGAACGGTCTTCATCAGCAGATTGAGTTGGCTCGGCTGTAAAGTATTAAGTTTGTTTAAAAGTGATGTGCACATATTTTACAATGTGTGAATCATTTGTGCAAATGTACTACAATCTGTCACTGTATTCTACTGACTCACTGACTTGGATTTGATTTGGGACTTTCTCACCTTCCCAGATCCTGAAGTAACATCTTAAAAATTACTTATTTTGTCCACCAACACAGATATTAAATTTACATCGTCCTAGGAACCGTCCTATATTCTGCTTGATGAATATCTTACAATGATTAAAAGATTAACAAAACTGTTGTTGATCAATTAATGAATGAATCAAGTACCTTGGAATGACAGGCTTGTCTTAGTTATTGGTACCTTAGGCAGTTACCTACCTTTGCTTAATGGTAAAGCCATTTAATGTAGACCTCATAGCTCATCATAGCTTAAAATGCCAGTTAGCAGCATTTATTTGTAGAGGCCTGGAAATGAATACTCTGATATGTGGGTTAAAGGGTAGTCTACAGCAGATTAAATAGCAGTAGTCTCACAAACACAATCAAACTGCATAAACAAAGACCAACAACACAGTTAAACTGAGTCTCGGTTTGATCCCCACTGTGCTGTAAATCAGTTAAAAGGCAACTACCGGAGCTTCAAGTGAACCAGTAAACCCATAAACTTTACTGCTTCCATTTTCCTGCCATAACTCAGGTTAACACCTTTATTCCTCCTTTAAAAGAATGAATATGACGCAAAACAGTGCCACACACTTGGATTCCTCTGACTCCATCCTGAACCCCGCACGACTCAGACAGCTCCCACCGACGCAGCTGTCGCTGTGTTTTTCCTCTCAGGTTCATGAAAGGCTTCTATTCAGTTTGCATCCATCTTTACGATCTGAGGAGGCGTGTTTGACACTTTCCACACAGGCCTCGGTGGAAGCAGTCATTCATCCTCCCTCCTGCCTTCCTCATCTCTGCATCTGTCTTGTTCTTAATGCTCTCTCACCCTATTCCTCCCCAGCTCTCTCTCTCTCTCTCTCCTCTCTCATATTACCTGTATGTTTCCTGGAACAAGTGAGTCTCGTAATACCCACTGCCAGCAATTGTGGAGATAAGCCGTGTGTGCATGCTAGGTGTTTGATTTGCCCATAGGTTTCCAGTGGTGTTTGTGTTTCTCTGTTTAGGTGTGGTTGTGTCAGTGTTTGTGTGAGTGAAAAAGAAAGTGATAGTGAGGTCAGTGTTGGAGGAGCTGAGGCAGTGTTAGGTTTAGTGGGAGTGAGATATTTTCTAGACAACAGATACCTAGAGGGAGAGAGGCCGACTGAGGTAACCAAGCCACAGGGAGGAGGTCAATTTTCTAACATGCAGCAGTAACGTTGTATAATAAAGCTACACTACATGGCCAAACGTATGAGGACATCCACCGTATGTGATTCTTAGCCATGCTAGTGGTGTGACTCTCAGTTTGGTTGGTCCACCACTTTGGTCCACACTGAAATATCTCAACAACTATTGGATGGTTTGTTCTGAAATTTCGTACAGATGCTCGTGTTCCTCAGAGGGTGAATCCCTGTAGAGTGCTGCAGGAAT